AATCTGTCAATATTAACACAAAAGGCTAATTGTTTAATATCATACTCATACTATCATGTAATTTATGTGAATCATAATTCCAGAATGAGGTAGTAAGTAGAGGGTTATTTTAGATATAAAAAATTGTCCACATCAGGAACAAGATCAATAAACTGATTAAGAAGGCTGATTCAGTTATTGGAGTTAGTTATTGGCCTGACTCCAAATTCTCTGGAGGTCATGACAGAGCAAAGAACCAGACAGAAACTGGATATCTGTTGAGCACTTTGTAATGCCAAAGTGCTCAACAGAAACATTTAGGAGGTTCGTTTTACCTAATGCAATAGTTCTTATTTTTTTGTTTCTATGACCGTACTTGAGGGGTAGCCTACTAAGACTGGGTTCCTCCATGATTGTTAAATGTTGTAGGCCTATATTGTATTGTATAGTTTCTATATATTGATAGTAAGATATTATTATTATTATTAGGCTCCCACTTCTGCCCTACAAAGGCAAAACGCAGGAACTACGCACATTTTTTGACTGCAAAATCTGACATCAAATTATTTTTCTGTCTAGACAGACAGCAATTTATGATAATCCATGATATATTCTGATCAACTGGCTTGTTCTTGTGTCAGGAAACCATTACAACAGATCAAATATGTTTTACAAATTCGTTACTGCGTTTTGCCTTTGTAGGGCAGTCTTGCCTAAGTCATATAGTGTTGTTGGTTGCACTATTGCCTGGTCACATCCTTGTTGGACAGTAAGCCTTCCCAGTCTAGTCCATTGATGCTGCCACTGATGCTGTCCCAGTGCACAAATTTAGGCTACAACAGTCATTCTGTGTTTTACCTGATTGTCAATAAAGACAGTGAGCTGTGGGACAATGGATAATTTACACTCTCAGAAAGAAAGAGTTTTATCTGATCTTAAATGGTTCGATCTATAACCTTTTTTTTAGAGGGTTCCCCTACAGGCACAAATGGTACCCCAAAGCACTCTTTTCCCCCCAGAGTGTACTGTGAATAACATCTCAATATAATGTCAACAATGTTTCACTGAGCAACTACTAAGGCTGAAATTATTTTCTCCTTTTTCTTTCTGATCATTTTAATAGTTGTGCAGACAGGACTTACCAGTAATTTTTCTATTGGACATACCGTGCATTCGGAAAGTATTCAGACCCCTTGACCTTTTCCACATTTTGTTAAGTTACTAGGGCAGTTATGGTGACCGTATTACCGCCACACCGGCAGTCACGAGTCATGAAGGCAGTCAAATTCCATGTGACCGTTTAGTCACGGTAATTAGGCTTCTCCAAGCTCTGATGCTGCTGATGATCATTAGTAGCTTACCAAACTTGCTAACTGCCTGGTACTCCGCACTCTATTGTCCCTCTAATCACTCTGACATCAATGCAAATGTGTTCGAAAATCTAATCAAACACTTAATGAGAGCCCATGAGCTCATGTTTCGCAACATTTCTATTGGCTATGCAATTGCGTGAGAAAACAGAGTGAAGATCCCATCAGCTCTCTATAGGCTAGGCCTACTATATTTATTTCTCAAACTTCCTATTATTAAAAACATTGCTTCTCTTTAAAAGAGGAGTATAGCCTACGTGGTTGGCATGAATATGAACCACGAGAAAAGCGTCCTCCATTCGCTATTTAAGTGCATAGATGACGTATTATTTTTCCGCTGCCCCTGTTTCGAAACAGGTGCATGATAATGGTCCATTATAAATCAAAACAGATTTCACACATATATTATTTAGTATATATAAAGACAAGATTAAATCAAGAATAGTGTGATGGGGGACAATATTAGCCTTTCACTTGTGAATGATATATTATCACTTGTGAATGATGCCCAGCTTAAGGCAAACTTTCTTTGGCGACTTTTTCAAATCATAGTCGCACACCTCATTTAGCCTAACCCATAGGCCTATATGTTTTGATTAGGTTTGTATAATAATAATAATATCACAACTAAAGTGGCCAAATAACTTCTTAAAATGAAGCACATTAATCCGCTTTACAATGGGTGTAGAGCCTAACTGGCATACACACGTAGCATGTGAGTTTGAATTTTTGTTGAAAATAATTTTCACCATAAAAATGTACCTTTAGAATAAAGGCATTACATGCATAATCACATTTGTGGTCACTTTTGAGAATAGTGTTTTCCTGGTAATGGAACATTCACGCTTATAGCCTGCTGCAGTGTGCACATTGCTGGGCTTATAATGTGAATAAATAACCTAATAGTTTATCAACATTTTAAGCTAAACGTTCTCATCTGTTTCGTCATGCTCATTGCTTAAAAAATGTATTTTTTTATGCTAGTGGTTGTATTAATTTGGGATCTATCGCATCCCGCAACTCTCCCAGACTATGTTTGGAAACTTTATTTCTTGCACAGAATAGAATAGCTCAATGTTTGTACTATGGGGGATAGTAGATTGACATAAGTGAGTGCTTTTGCTGTTCATTAGGCCTACTCATCTTGTTGGCTGACGAAAAGTAAATGTGGGCAGTTCTTCCAATACCTTCAATATGTTGGGCGGCAGGTAGCTTAGTGGTTAAGAGCGTTGTGCCAGTAACCGAAAGATCTCTGGTTCTAATCCCCGAGCCGACTAGGTGAAAAATCTGTCGATGTGCCCTTGAGCAAGGCACTTAACCCTAATTGCTCCTGTAAGTCGCTCTGGATAAGAGCGTCTGCTAAATGACCAATTTATTTTATTTTTTATGTGCCTCAGAATTGGATAAGGACGCGCGCAGTTGCGTCCCCGATGTGTCCGTCTTCACTTGTAGCCTGTGAGAAAGACCCGATCATGTGAGTGATTATTATTATATTCAAGGGCATAATGGCCACTGGCCGCAAAAGGCATGGATTATTTTAGGAGGATTATGGCCACACAAAGGGGAGGCAGCAGGAAAATTTGAGGCATTATCAAGTGCTTGTCAAATTGTGAATGAGAGACTGATGAAGTGTGTACAGCCTACGCAAAAAACAAAACAGAGCTCATGCCTTTCAAATCATAGTTAACTCTAAATTAATCATACTTGTTTCTTTGTTAACCGCTCAACACAGAATAGCCGCATGTGCGCACTCCCTCAAATCGTTGAGAAAATATCCTTTCTATTTTATTCAGCTATGTTCAATTGTATTCTTCATACTATAAAATAATATAAAATAATGCTACGGAATTCTAAGCAAATCTTGTCTGCTAAATGAACTAGTGTAGCCCACAGCCATATGGCATAGCCAGATCAGGGCCTAACATAAGGACAACGCAGAGTTTGCTATTCTGTTCTTCTGAAACAGTGTTTTATATTAAATGTCAGCTATAGGGTATGGGTAGGCAACAAGTCAGCCGCGAGACGTTTTTTTTGTCAGAGCGAATGTTCGGGGGCCGGAAAATTATAATTTGTACACTGCAAATTGACCTCAACTAAACCCCCAAAAAGATTGCATTTGAAAATAATTTCATACCTACATTGAGACACGATCACATATTTTTATTTGTGGGAATACTTGGGAACAGATTTCCTAAATTAAAACTCTTTCAGCTGAATTCCTGGTGATTTTAGTCTTGATAAAAAAACGACAAATTAAAAATGCTAAAGAATAAATCACTTGCTGCATTTTGCCGACCTCTGCTCTAGTGTTGTGTTTCCACCAGGAGTGTGACACTAAAGACTTGTGGCATGCAGAATCAACCTCTGCATCATTCAAGACTTGCTTTGTGAGGTGTTAAAATTCTGTTTAATAGCAATTAATGTAAATGACAGCTGGAAAGTACCCAGGGCCTTGCCTTGGCTCCAAGTTAGAGCAGGTTTGCCGGAACCATGGCCCAGTGGGACACAGGTGTCGGCCCGCATAGATGGAAAATTAAAAGTCTGAGCCTTTTGGGTAAAACACTGGGGTAAATCCTCATTGGAAATGCTGCAAAAGACTGTCCTGTGGGCCCAACAGAAGGCGCAGCAAAGATGGATCCTCACAGTAGTCAGAAATAGACGAATACCTGCAGCCTGACGGTACCAAGCATGTCATTCATGTAAATAAATGTATTTCACTTGTGATAGAACATTATTTCACCATCTTTACAGTACCATACTTTCACCAATGAGGTAATGTAGTAGCAGCAATTGAATTAATGCATAGACTACCTGTGGTGAACCCTTCAGATGGAACCCCCCTAGACAATAATGTAAATTCAACACAGCATTGGCGAAGCTGACTTCAACTGATGTGTATTAATTACGGCTATTATGTGGCAAAAAAAAACGTGTCTGTTGCAAAATTGTTCCGATTGCTTCCGTTTGGTTCCTAAACTATTTCCGTTGCAAGACGTAATGAATACACTCTTGGTATTCTTTGGGAATGAAAGCAGTGTTGCATTCTTAATCAAAACTGTTTCAAAACTGTTTCTTTATCGCGATAACACAGATTAATCATAACGATGAGGCACAGGCACCCATAGAGAGAATCATTTATTTATGAGAACACAATGTTCGATGAGTAAATCACAGAGCAGGAACATCAGACCAGGAATGCACAATGGGACTCCAGCTGTAATACAAAGGGACATAAAACACATTGCAGTATTGCAGCTATAACATTGACAAATTTGACAATAAAACCAATCATTCATGGTCCAAGAGGACTGCAGCATGCTTTTATCCTCCTTGTTAAGGTCAGCACCAACAAACTTCACTCAACTAATCATCGAGACCTTGTTTAGCCAATTCAAGGGCTTATTCAGTAGGCAGTAACGTTTTGAAACACTTTAGAAACATTTGCACACTTATAGGACAAGTTGAAGTTGTATATTTTGAAACATTTTCTACTGATTTCTGCCTAAAGAACACAACCGAGGGGTGCCAATGCGGGGCTGGCTGGGACAAAAGCCTGCAACCAGTGCAGCCCTCCGGGACAAGGAGTGAAGAACCCTGGCCTAATAGATATATGAAATGATGCCTCATTGGTTGCAAAATACTCACTGGGGTTTATTCGCCAGTTGGCCTGACACTTTCAAAAATGCCAGCTTCCCTCATGTTGTTGAACTCCTTTGTGGTGTCATATTGTTTGTAGAAATCGGCATAGGCCTGTTTCCTGGGCTCTGTCACACCGTACTGAGAAGACAAGACAATATCACCTCATCAGAATGAAGTATTTACTTATGAATACAAAAACGTCATCCTGTCTGTTCCTGAAGACATCCATTCAATGTGATAACATAACATAAATTCCATGATGGACTTTAACCATTCCATTTCACACTTTTCCTACATAGATAATGTTAAGGTGGCCGCCTTGCTGATATCCCGGGCCGCCTTAGAAAACAAAAACAAGATTGTCAGCTGACCTTGAAAGCTGCTGCAGCCACCAATGACAGGGCGAAGGCAATGGGCAAGTGGAACCTCAGACGCTTCCCAAGGAGTCCTCGCATTGCAGGCTTAGCCAGAGACATTGTGGAATACCTGGAATGTTCAGAAGAGAAATGGCACATCATTTACTTGGGTTGAAGTACAACAATGCTGCTTTCAGAAATGTCCTTATGTCAAGAAAATTATTGATATATTGGTTGTAGTTAAGATCGTAGTTAAGTTGATTGTAAGGAATTTGCTGTATGGTGAACTTTAATCAGTCTTTTAGCTGCATGACCAACATCCAAGTCACATTTGGATCAATCCCAAGTGGTAGCTAGCAGATTCCCCTTCAAAGAAAGGTCACCAATCGGATTGGCAATTCAGAAAAGCATCTGAAGCTGGTGATACTATTGACATTGGCCAATGTGATCCATATATTGCATGTAAAATGCCTCTATTTAGAAATAGCCCATTAGAAAAAGTATGGCTAGCTATATCAGTCTAGCTAGCTAGCCAATTTGTGTGTTGGTACAGAATCAAGTGCTACCTTCGTTAGCTACTGGCAGCTAGTTATGTCAATAGTTTATTTACTTACCTAGCTAGTTAACTTAGTGTCACATTTACAGATTAAACTATCAATGTCATGACTCAAATGTAAAATGTAATGCTAACAAGCTCCTTAGTAGGCTGGACACATGACATTTTTAACATGCTTTTTTCTGATAAAAACGAGTTCATTGCATCCGCAGTGGAGCCCAGTTTCGTAATACTTCCATATGTCCCAGCTGCTTGCCTTAGTTTTGACGTAATCACGAAAAAACAGGCGTTATTTTAGGGCATTTTTCACCCTGCCAGCTCCTATTAGTTCTATTGAGCACCGTGGCACCATCTCGCCTTCCGAATGTTTTATTCCCAGCCCATTGTTCCATGTCACAATGCCTGCTTCGCTATTGTTGGCAATGAGACCTGCCCAGGTTGAACCAATTGCTGATAGTTAAAACGTTAGATAACAACAAAAAATTACTCATGGAACTCTGAGGTCATCCCATTGTTTCCTATAGGGGAAATATATGTATGTCTGTCTATTTCGCCAAATATCTCGCAATGTGTATATTTAGATTTTTTTCAACTCGGGCACCATTTTAATCATGATAATCTCCTCTTTCTAATTATGTAAAGCTGGGCAGCGTACTCCATTGCCGTCAAACGCTAGCCCCGAAATACGTTTTGACCTTGGAACGCTGAGCTCCCCCCATTGTTTTCCTATGGAGAGGCATGTTGGTATATTTTGCCAAATATCTAGCAATGTGTATATTTTGATTTTTTTCAAGTAGGACACCATTTTAATCACGACAATCTCCTCTTTCTAATTACGTAAGACTGGGCAGCGTACTCCGTTGTCATCGATCGCTAGACCATAAATAGTCAAGTTGACATCTTTTTCCTACTTCCTCGTTATGCAGACATAAGCACAGTTCACACCATCGAGGTGTGGATGTTTACTTTCTACACGAGTTATTTTTCAGTTTCGTCCTAAAACACAGATTGTAATTGTAAAAGGTATACCTTTTTTGGAAATGGAATTCTAAGCATAATTCCAGTCAAAATAGGCTCCGCGAACGTTCGATTCAATTCATTTGCTATGGGCTCGCGCTAGTGTTCCAGTTTAGCCAACGTTCTATTGCCGTTTTTCAGCCTTGGGTGAATTTTGACTCGTTTGACCCAGCCTACCCCTTAGCTTAGCTAGCTAACGTAGGTACCCAGGCCATTGGGTAGATGGAGCGCTGTCGGCCGCTAGTCTTTGTTAAGAAAAGAAAATCAACATAATTAACTAAACTAACGTTAGCTGCAATTGGCTAGGTATATATTTATATGTGGTCTGACAGTAAAACTACTACACCAATACCTGAAACAGTGCATTGCAAAGAGAACACATCGACAGTCAGAGGTTAGCAAATTTAGCAACAAACTAGCGGGTAATGTCGACAATTACAAATTGACTATGTAATGGAGAGAATCATAACATTTCAACAACTTGAACTATATATTTTCTGTACATGTTTGATAGAAAGTATTTGGTTACACATTTACTTACAAGTAGCACTCACGACCTTCAACAAAATGTGTTAATGCGGAAGGAATATCTCTTCTTCTTTCAATTTGTATTGGCGGATCGCAACTAACTGAAAGGCGCATACACCGCCACCTACTGTACTGGAGGCCGGTCGGCCTCCCTATTCATATACGTATTTCTCTTATCTAGCCCTGTGTTTCCGCCTACTGTTCTAGAGTGTGACTTCATTACACTTTGGCACAAAAAGGAAAAGGGATGGAAGGAATTCTGCTGGTCTTGCGGAGGGTCAAGCTTGGTTTTTACTAGATAGCACAGCCACAAAGGCTTTATCGTAAACATTAATGGAAACAAAAATGAGCTTTTTGGTCTTAATTTAAAGGTTAGGGTTAGGCATATGGTTAGCAGTGTGGTTAAGTTTAGGGTTAAGGTTAGGTTTAAAATCAAATTGTAAGAAAATCAACTGTAGAAATATGCAGGGTTTATGACTTTGTGGCTGTAGTAACTAGTGAAGACCGACAATCTTGCAGAAGGAATACTACTATTCTTGCAGAGGGACAATCCAGGACACGCGAAATGTCCATCGATGGAAGTATCAGCGCACAAGAATGATCATCAGAGATGCCCTAGTGATTCCTGCTTATATTCTTTATGGTGCAATAAACTAACATACAAGAAAAAAAACATGAAATATATCAGTATACCTAAATAGTATGCCTCAACACATTTTCTCTGCAAAATGCTCTCATGGTCAACAGAGCTGATCATTGACTGTTGGATATCAGACAAACAGCAACAATACACAATTGCATTTCTATTGTTTTGTAGCTAATTACAGAATAAAGTTCACTGAGACACTTCTTCACAATAATTAGTAAAGCCAGAGTCACCTTAGAAGCTTTGACATAAGGGAATGTACATGAAAACAGCATACAATAAGTGTACTGGACAATTTATTGGTGCCTCTGCATTAGCATTATAAATGACAATATGTTCAGAATTGTATGTATTGATCAGACATTTATTTGATAATTTACAGCATAGCCGAAATATTGATCAACATGAACACTCATGCGAAATAAAGGTGAGAAATAATGGTGAGACATCATTTAACATTTAAAAAAATATTAGAGCCATAAGCCTAATATAGGGACCCGGCCGCCCTACAGTGTGCAGGACCCCATTAATTCGTACAATTTGTAACACTCATCTCCCGTCCGAATGCTTGAAAAAAACAATACAAAGTATCAAAATGTGATACCATATCACATAAAAGTGAATTACTTAGGCTTTAAGAAATGCAACCAACTACAGAGATTGATGGGGGAGTGGGTGAAGAGGGGGACCCATGTACACCACTTCAATCAAGCATGCTTCAGTCACCCACTTGGCTTCAGTTACCCCCAACCAAGATTGAAGTGGGAGACAAATCCAGCTATGGCCTCCTCCTTGACAGGCCTCTCACACTGGGCAGACAGGGTTCCTGGGATGGACAGCTCGCACAGCTTCCCCCATACAGCGTGGATCAAGGGTGACCTTGTTGAAGAGGAGCCTTTCTACGTAGCCTATAATGTTTTTGAAAAGGGACGTTTGTTAAATGGGTAGTACATTTAATTTAATTTAATGATGCTATCAATTCGTTGATGTAGTGATCTACTCATTCTACAATGTGTTTTCTGGTGTTTTTGATGTACTCAATTTGAAATGTGCAATATTTGGTCGTGCACTTGTTGCCCTCTTGTAATTGGGTGGTGGTTAGAATGATTGAGCCTGAAACCTTGGAAATCAAGTTTAAAACAATGAGTTTATATCTGGTTGCTCTTCTTAGTATAGCTACAGTTGGCTTGTCACTCATTCAACTGACAACAAGCTCTATTCTTATACAATTACTAAATAAATAGCCAACATACAGTTTAAAACAATTAATAAACAAGTATTACAATGATCTATTCTCACAAATACATTGAATCATCTCATTCTTCAGCTAGCGCTCAATACACAGCAAGAAACTATCATGGTCCATACACATGAAGAGGGCACGACAACCCCTTTTCCCCCTCAGGAGACTGAAAAGATTTGGCATGGGTCCCCAGATCCTCAAAAAGTTGTTTAAGGGCTTGTTCAAACATTTTCAAAGACTCCAGCCACCCAAGTCATAGACTGTTCTCTCTGCTACCGCACGGCAAGCGGTACCGGAGCGCCAAGTCTAGGTCCAAAAGGCTCCTTAACAGTTTCTACCCCCAAGCCATAAGACTGCTGAACAATTAATCAAATGGGCACCCGGACTATTTGCATTGACACCCCCCCACCTTTGTTTTTATACTGCTGCTACTCGCTGTTAATTATCTATGCATAGTCACTTTACCCCTACCTACATGTACATATTACCTCAACTAACCTGTACCCCCGCACATTGACTCGGTACCAGTACCCCCTGTATATAGCCTCATTATTGTTATTTTATTGTGTTACTGTTTTTTATTACTTTTTTTTAACTTTAGTTGATTTAGTAAATATTTTCTTAATTCTATTTTCTTAAAACTGCATTGTTGGTTAAGGGCTTGTAAGTAAGCATTTCATGGTAAGGTCTACACCTGTTGTATTGGGCGCAGGTCTTTTTTCCTTCTCCAAACGAGTTTAGCCAAAGCCACGCCCCTTTTCAGCTATGGGTGTTTTCCAGCCTACTTACAGTACGTCCGCTTCATTGGTCAACAGCATGAGAGTGCAGAGATTGGATGGATTCAGAGAGCCTCAGCCAGGCGTGTGCCGTCAAAACACAGGAGAAAAGCAGACAGGTGCCGCGTAAAGATCAAACCTGATGTGATATGTGTTCAAGAAACGTGGCTTAGACCACATCTTGATTTTATTAGTCCTTGTTATTGCTCAATCAGATCTGATAGATCAATTGGACAGGGTGGTGGTCCAATTCATAAGGGAAGGTCTTGTATATCGTAATATACCTGTTCTATCTGAATATGAATGTGTGATGGTGGAAATCTACAGTGCAAGTAGTAATATTAAGTCACAACA